TTTTAATCACTCCTTGCTCGAGAACTTGATGCGCACTTACTGAGTGGAGGAAAGGAATGCTGTTGAGGTGTTGGCACCCGCGGAAGAATGGCTTTTGGGAGCAGTTCCTCTACCCCACAGCACATGGACGTGATCGCCTCACTGCATACTAGCCAGGAATGATCGTTATCACAGTTTGCCATCTTACTGACATGGTAGATTAAATTGACTTTGTTGGGTTGGTATTGAAGTCTGCAATTTAATTTTGATTAGCCAGTTGTGTTTCCTCTTCTGTGGAAAAAGTTAAAACCTGAAACATCAAAATATCCATCCCATCAGAAAAGGTGAATGATTGAAAGCCTGTAATGTGGATTCCTCTGCAGGTGACTATGAGGTAGAGCTCTGCGATCTTATATCTTTTGCTTAATTCACTTATGGATAAATATGATCGCTATAGCTTTTTAAAAAATTTAAATCTTGATAGATTCCTAAAACAAAATTTATCCACAACCCTATACCATATTTAATCATTTTAAATGCAATTCTCTTTCTCTTCTTGTTGCCGTTGTTTTGTTTATACGACCACCATGTCATGAACACAATGGGGAAGTTCTAGTCTCTCCTCGCTGACCACTGTGAGTTAACATCGACTCAACAATAACCACAGACATTTGTTCACATTATAATAATAATAATAAAAAACCATGTTGACTTTTAATAGAAACACAAGTAAAATTGTTTAGATAAGCAAATGGATCATTAATTCGTATACTATGTCTTCATGTTTTTATACAAGCATATTTATTTAATTAGCCATGGCCTCAGATAGTATTCATCTACCACATACGCCCCCAGACTCCTAGCCCAGACATCATTACTTGGAATGATTTTACTGCCAAATGCTGCTTCTTGCAAAATTTGCCTTTAAATCAATGCATATGTATTACTTTCTAAAGCCAACTTTCTCTTTAAAACTAAATGTCAACATTTGTCTTTAAAGAGCATAACATGATGCTGAAAAAAAAAATTTTAGGAGAAACATGTGGCTTTGATTTATTATAGTACAAGCAATTTTAGGAGAATTTCTTAGCTAAATCCTTAACAGTAACAATATAGTCAAGCTATCCAATTAGAAATTACACTTGGCTATTCAAGAACCTCAACTATTTCAGAAGTAGAAAAGTGTTTTAGCAATTGTTTCCCACAAAATCTGCCTCTTTCCCATTGGATAGCCACTGTTATGATGATGATGATGATGATGATTTCCCTACGAAATTTAAAGTCCACTCACCTTTTGACTGTAAATTCTAAGGGGCCCATGTCCGTTTGACAGGAGGTGGTCTGTGTTTATCTTCCTCCGCCCTTCACCACAGTAGAGGAAGGACATGCATTTCAAATCACCTTGCCAGTCTGCCAAATCAAACAAAGTTTGTGGCAGTGCTTCGCAAAGAGAGATTTGATTGACCTTCACTCAAAATCCTTTACAGTAATATTTATTCTTCTCTTCTCCATCGCAGAGCAGTGAGACTTGATTTGCCACTGAGAATTTCTTGAAAGACTATTGCCACATTCCTTGGGCCCTGTATCTTAACCCTCAGTGGGCTGCTTTTGCCAAGAAGTCAGTTGATTTTACACCAAGAAACCTTGGACAGCATGAGACTTGCTCACTTGACGGCGCTGTCATTCTGATGGAGCCCAGTGCACGTCCTCCCCAGTACAATGGCCTTTGCCATTCGGAAGTGTCAACAGCTAACACACTGAGCTAGGAATCAGAAGTTAGCCGTTCAGATCTGCTCAGAGCATCTTGGGAGAAAATCTGGGGATAAGGTACCGAAAACCCTGTGGTGTCCAGTTCTACTGCGACACACAGGGCCGACCCCTGAGTAAGAGACAACTAACTGGAAAGCACGCGGTCAAGTGTTTGCATTTCTGAATGCTCAGGCCCAAAGCCTTCTCAGGGCTTACAGGCTGTCCATGCAGCCAGTCAAGGGGGTGGTGACGAAGAATGGATTTTGGAGTAGAGGTTGGTTAGATGATTTCAAAGTGAGGGCATCTTCAAAAAATTTTTTAAAAACCAGAAAAACAAACTTGCTGTATGCCCACTCAGTAGTGGCCCTACGGGACAGAGTAGAACTTACTGTGAGTTTGCAAGACTGTCCATCTTAACAGGAGGAGAGAGCCTCATTTTTCTATCACGGAGCTACTGGTGGTTTCAAATTGTTGACCTTTTGGATGGCAGCCTAAC